AGAATGATGTACAAATGCGCTTTACACAATTGATGTGTGTATGGATTGCGATAACAGTTGTATGAACCCCTAATAAAAGGTTTAAAATTAAAAAAAAAAGAAAAAGAAATCAAGGACCAGTTTCAAGCAGCAATCTTTAGGCAGAGATGTACATAATCCTAAAATGGGATCCTTTGAGAGCCAAGTTAAGGTTTACTGTTTGTTGAATTCTTATGAAATATAGCACACCAGAAGCCAGGGTTATTGGGGAGTTGGCTTTAGAAGGCGCAATGCCTTAGTTGTATGGTGGAGGGTACAAAAATACTTATAAAGGGTCTCTCTTCCAAATACCCTTTTCCAAGCATTCTAAATCACAGTCCTGTAAGACCTTATTCCATACCCTTAGACATTAGAACAAAAATTCTGATACTGCTACCGTATTAAAAACATTTATGCAAAAAACCAAAAAGTTCATGCAGAGGGGCTTTCTTTCACTATACAGAGTTAATTCACTGGTCTTTGTTTACTGTTAACTGGACTATTTAACAAAGGAAAGCTCAAGTAGTATCCAAAATTCCCTTACCTTCAGAATCTCATACATGTAAAATCGAATATCATAGTCTGTTAGCGTCTGATACAATTGCTGTGAAAGAAGAATGCAACGTTTGAGTCATGAAACCATGCTGACGGGAAGACACTTTCTGATCCTCATTTGTAGTAATTCAAACCATGACCTCACTCATTTGGCACTGTTCCAAGATCTGTCTGTTCCCTGGTCTCCTACATCACCTTTACTTTCACGTAGTGGCTCTCAACCTGTGGGTCGTGACCCCTTTGGGGGTGGGGTGTCCAACAGCCCTTTCACAGGGGCCGCCTGATTCATAACAGTAGCAAAATTACAGTTATGAAGTAGAAATGAAAATAATTTATGGTTGGGGGTCACCACAACATGAGGAAGTATTAAAGGGTTGTGGTATTAGGAAGGTTGAGAACCACTGCTTTAGAGGGATACTCTGGGAGTTGTTTGGGGTTTTTTTGTTTGTTTGTTTTTAAGAAACTTTGGTTTTTAACTTTACAGGCAAAAGGGAAGAACTATTTAAACTGATTGCTACCACTATAGCCCACTGCTGGAAACATACCAGCTTAAACATACAACATGCATTGATAGACACTTTGCTTTTCATTTACCTTCAGATCTCACAGAAAGTATTCTGGCAAACACACAGCACCTTAGCAGGGGACTAATGCACCTTTGGCTGGCACATGATCAGTAATGCACAGGACCAGAGGGCATGCAGGTTGGCATTTTTGCCAAACCTGTTGAGCCATGTGAACAGCCTATCCCTGTTGACAATACATTTTGCCTTTCCAAGCTCTGAAGAATTTTGTTGTTTTGTTGTTTCGGGGGTGGGGTGGGGGGGAGAGTGGGGAGGGTGTGTTACATGTACCTTTCACTCTTCACCTGTAAAGGGTTGCTGGTGTTCTTGATCAAGTTTTCCTTAAATGAGCCCTACCCGTTCTAGGTTTGTGTTAAAGCAGAAGCCAACACTATCCTCACCTTCCTTTGAAGATCCATAACCTGGAGTCCCTTAGCTCCATGCTTCAACATACACAATGCATATACACACCCCTGAACATGATTGTGTCACTGCCTTCATTAGATTGGACACCAGTGGAAGCTAGCAGCAATGTGGTCTAAAGACATCAAAACTCAAAATGGTTGGTTATATATTATTGTTATATATATATTATACCTTGAAATCTGTGTTGTTTACATGTTCAAAAACCAAGGCGGGGGTTCGTGACTGTGGAAAGAGAAAGAAAAAAAAAGTGTTAGCCATAGGCATGGCAGGTGTCTATAGACTGTGGGTGAATCAGTTCTCACCTCAAAAGTAGGAAACCCTCTATTGCTATAACCCCTCCCTGCTTCTGATCACCACTTAGGTCATTCTGGGAATAGGTTTCAAACAGAGGACAAAGAGCTTAAGTCTCACCAAGCTCTCGGCAACAACACACCTATGACCCATTAGCTTCACACCCGAGTTTGCAAAATGAATCATTCCATTTCCGTTTCTAGTGCTACCGGTCCCTTAGCCCAAAGGATAAAATAGTCTACGGGTGGAAGTCACCTTGGAGAGAAAAACCCACATTCGTTCAAAGGTGGATCTGATTAAGCACTTTAGAGAAGAGCAGAAAAGAGGCTAGCTGTGCTCTGGGTCAAACATTACTCCAGCCTGGTGGCCCTGCTGGCGCCTACTATACTCACCACAGGATCTTTGACAATGTCTGCCAGTGTGATGATGTTGGGACCACCTCGCAAATTCTCCAAAATCTTTATTTCACGCTTGATTTTCTTCTTCTTTACTGGCTAAAAGGACAGAAGTGTATCAGTGAAATAAGCCATTTTGGAGTGTATCAGCAGGTAATGGAGTTCAGAAAGGCTTACTTAGGAGCGCCTGGAAGAAGGCTCCTCTCTGAAGCCGTCCTACTAGCAGTGCCAGGCACTCTGCCGGCACTGCTGCCAGTGAGCGGGGAGGGAGAGAGAGAAGAGACGTCCAGTTCCAAAACCAGACCTCTGTGGGATTAGCATTTCATTTCAATGATGACCTTGAATATGTTAGCTCTTTTCAAATCCTCAAAACTAACAATTTAAATAGTTGGTAGTACATGGAGGGAACCTATAAAACTCACTTAGGATGGGACATGAGAGATGGCACTTTCCCTCCCTCTCAATCTAAAAATACCCGACAGAGGAGCAGGACGGCTGAACCACCTCTGCAGCCTTGTGGGTAAAGCAGGGGCTCTGGAGTCAGACTGCTTCATGCAAATCCTGCCTTCATTACCAGCTAGCTCTTTTTTTTTTTTTTTAACATTTTATTAGGGACTCATACAACTGTTATCCCAATCCATACACACATCAATTGTGTAAAGCGCATTTGTACATCGTTTCTCAAAACATTTTCTCTCCCGACATTAGGTCCTCCCAGCTAGCTCTTATAGAAGACTTTTACCATGTGTGAAACTTAACAAGATTCCTGCCACCGTCATCTGAGGTACTGGAAAATGCCTTGGACTGTGGCTGGAACCTAACAATACCCTGTCTAGCCTTATCCCCGGTAAACAAATCCCTCTGTTTTAAAGAGACTAGTCGGCACGTCCCCTTGAGGGGCCATCTACATTTCTTGGTCCTCACCCATCATTTTCCGATCAGGTCTGGTATGAAAATCTTTCCCCCTTTTCTGAAAGTCCTGATAGCACAGCTGGCTGCCAATGGAAACATCAGGCGTTTGAAACCACCAGCACTCCTCAGGAAAAAGACGTGACAGACCGCTTTGGATATGATTACTGCCTTCACAATCCTCTGGGAAGTCCAGGGCCCACTCAACAGTAAGGTGGGTTTGCTTTCAGTCGTTGTTTTGGTAGTTATACCATCGTCTATATTGAAAATAATAAGAAGCACTGGCAGGGAGTCAATTCTGACTCATAGCATCCCTAGGGTTTCTGAGGCTGTAACTCTCTAAGAAAGCAGAACGCCACATCTTTCAGAGCTGGTGGGCTTGAACCACTGATCTTCTGATTAGCAGTCCAATGCCTGACCCCCAGTGCCACAACGGCTCCTTTTCATCTGCACAGTTACAGTAAAATACAAGTACAGTTAAGACTGAACTGAAACATTACTAACTTTCCAAATCACCCTCTTACTCAAAACCATCAATAGCTTCTAACTACCTACGGAAGTCCTGTACTTTTTAAGACCGAAAGGAAATGTAGAAATATCTTTCCCAGGCCTTCTCTAATCTGATCTTCTTTCCAAGTTCATTGCCTGTGTGTGCTCACATGGCATCTTTCACATGAAACATGGTCCTCACTCATTTCCTCCCTCACCACTTACTCTAGTGTATGTACTAGAGCAGGGGTCCTCAAACTGCGGCCACCGAGGACATTTATGCGGCCTGCCGGGCGTTTTTGCCCCGTTTGTTTTTTTACTTCAAAATAAGATATGTGCAGTGTGCATAGGAATTTGTTCATAGTTTTTTTAAAACTATAGTCCGGCCCTCCAACGGATCTGAGGGACAGTGAACTAGCCCCCTGTTTAAAAAGTTTGAGGACCCCTGTACTACAGTATGCACCCCTACTCCTATACAAACCTATCCAAATTTCCCTCCCCTTCAGGAGGAAGCTCTGGGGGATTTTTTTTTTTTTAAACACCACGCTCTTCTGAACTTACAGAAGCACCACTGGCTGCACCTCTCACGTGGCTCTAAATAATTCACCACCTCACTCTCTCATTACCTTTCCGAGTGAATAAGCGGAACCAAAACGATCTCACTGCCACGCAGCTGAGTCTGACTCAGAGCGACCCTCTAAGGGCAGAGTCCAGCCTCATCTTTCCGGTGGAGGGCCTGGTGGGTTTGGCCCGGGGAGCTTGTGGTTAGTGGCTCAGTGCACGGTAACACTTCGACTCTTCAGGTTACCAAATGGTATGCAGGACAAGGCACCCCGGCTCGCTCACGGACACTAGGGGATATTTTTAAAAGTTGAGGATGCAGAGCCAACGCTCTGCCAGCCACTGAGTGAACCACTAGCCCAAGGTCGGAGATTGCTCTGCAGTCCTTTGATGACGTCCTACCTTTGTGAGGCTGAGTTGTAGTGGTTGCTGTGATAAAAAAGCAGGTCCTATGTAAAAACCCAACTGAACAAGGAAATGAGAGTGGTGATGCCAAATCAGATTTCAACACCTGAGAAACTGTAGTGCCGAGCCAGTGTAGCTATGCCATTAAGGTCATTAAAAACAAACTGAAAGGATTACTTTCCTTTCGCTTTATGTATGTACCTTTAAAATGGTTACCAAAACTCACAAACACTTCAGTTATTTTAACCTACCTCTGTTTAATATACATAGGACCTGACCAACTGTGGGACCACATCAAGAACATCATACATGAAGAAAGCTCTCCACTGCCAGGAAAGAAAGATCAGAGTGGAAGTCGGAAGAGACTCTGAAGGTTGTTCTTGACTGCAGATTAGCTAAAGCAAATGGAATGATGAAAACAGTTTACCAGAAAATTTCAAAATGCAGCTCGAGAAGCCAACATATTATAATGAAATGTGAAAAGACTCAGAGTTAGAAAACCCCAAAGGAATGATAGGCTCAGATGTAACAGACTGAAAGAAGTGAAGAAAAGTCAACATCTCATGAGCGAAATATTGAGTGATGCAGAAGTACTAAAATATGATGAAAAAACACACAGATCCATACAACAGAAAGAACTAGTTGATATTCAACCACTTCAAGAGGTGGTACATGATCAAGAACTGATGGTCCTGAGGGAAGAAGTTCAAGCTGCACCGAAGGCATTAGCCAAACACAAGGTTCCAGGAACTGACCAAAAGCAACTGACATCTCTCTACACGCTGGGGAAGCACTGGAAGCACTCCCTAAGCCATGCCAAGGAACTTGGAGGGCAGCTACTTGACCCCACGACTGGAAAACCCCCCATTTCTACACATTCCAAAGAACGGTGACCCCACCGAATGTGGAAATTATTGAACAGTATCACATGCAAGTACAATTTTGCCTAAAATCATTCAGTGGTTGCAGCTGCTAGAAATTCAAGTCAGATTCCTAAGGCCATGGACTAATGAAATTGTTACTGAGTTCTGGTGGATCTTGGCTCAAACAAATAATACCGGAAAAACATTTACCGGTGTTTTGTTGAATGTACAAAGTCCTTTGTGTGGATCCTAACACTGAGAAGAATGGGAATTCTACAACACTTAATTTGCTCATGCAGAACCTGTACATGGATCAAGAGGCAGTCCGTTGAACAGAACCACGGAATATCGCACGGTTTAATATCAGGAAAGGTGTGTGTCCGTGTTGTATCCTCTCATGTGTCCTATCATCATATATGTTCAGTCTGTCTGTTGGGCAAAGAGTCTGAGCAGTTGAACTCTATCAAGCACCGGGTATCAGGAATGGAGGAGGAGGAGGACCTGAAGTGCTCAGTGACGATGACTAAGGACTACAGCCTTCACTACGGATTACAACTCAAGGTCAAGAAAACCCAAAGCCTCACAACTGGACCAACAGTTAACATCACGATAAATGAAGTCTGAAGTTATTAAGGATTTTCTCCTAGCTTAGACCCACAGTAAATACTCATGGGAGCAGCAGTCTAGTGTCAAATGACACACTGCACTGGGTAAATCTGCTGCACGCGATCTCTGTAAAGTGTGCACGGATGTCACCCTGAGGACTAAGGTGAACCTGAGACAGCCACGGTATTTTCAGGTGCTTCGTATGCATATGAAAGTTGAGACACTCCAGTCTGCAGTCCCCACCACTCACGCCATCTAAGCTTGTGCCCCGGCTCAGACTGGCTATGCTCACGTCACCTGTCTTAGTTTGTGAGTGTCCACTTTCACGAGGTTGGAGTAAAAATTTTTTACTGAGAGAAAAAAAAGGCTGCAATGTAACAACAAAGAAAGAAAACCAGTCTTAGACAAAACTTAAGAGATCTAACATTTATTTGCCTTCTCCCACAATCTAGTTATAGGAATTGAGTTAAATCACTATTCTGGCCTGCTTCTGTTGAATGAAGATACTTCAAATATTTTAAGAACTCTTAATTCTATAAATATGTACTACAAGCAATACTACAATAATAATTTCTCTTTTTGCACATACCTTGAGAATTTTAACGACGACTTTTTCATTATTTGTGATGTTGATGGCTTCAAACACCTCACTGTATTTACCCCGGCCTAATTTTCGAACCAGCTGGTAGTCATCTTGATTTCTGTAAACAGGAACAGTGAAAGTCAAAGTCACAAGGTTAAAAAGTTCAAGTTACTGAACCACCAATGCAGTTAGAATAAAGGGTATTCCAAGTAATTCCTCAACCAGTTCAATCATTTGGCTTTTATTTTTAAATTAAGACAACCAAAGAAATGTTTTCCTAAATGCTAGGCTAAGAAAAATGTAAGTGTTTCCTCTGTTTGCACATTATGCACATCTAGCTTACATTAGGGTGTGTTATGTATATTGCCAACAACAGATAGTTTTCCCGTGGAGAGTGGCAATGCCTCATCCCCTAGTTCTCTGCCTCAATTTAGTGATCATTTGCTAGCTGTTTTTAACAGCCTCAGTGCAGATAAGGCAGCTTCGCAAACATACGAAAGGACTCAAAAGGTTTGTGGAATAATTTCAGTAACTTTTCATTCCATTTCCTCCCCAGGGAACAATTCTACTTTGCCTTTTTGGGGGAAAGTTTTCAATTAGCAATAATCGCGCCTTGGGTAAACCTCATTGGCTACGACACTGCCACTGCGCACAGGGTTGCACGTGTCCGAATCAACGCAGTGACAGGGAGCTTTCAAACGCAAAGCACTGATTTGAAGACGGTGCGCATGTCTGCTACAGAAACACTGGCATCAGCCGAGACAACGAGTGCACTTGAGAATTAGGAACTCCACAACACTGGCAACATTTGGGGTATGATTCCATTGGTTCTTGATGGCATCTGACGTGCAATGTCTTCACCGAGGAAACATACAACTTTCCTCTAGTTCCTAAATGCTTCCTCCGTCGCCTTATCATGACCCCAATTCTACCTGACAAATCCAGCTAGACTAGAGTGTGTACCCGGGCACAGATAAGAGCTCGCAACACAGGGAATCCAGGACAGACAACCCCTCAGGATCAATAATGAGAGTAGCAATACCAAGAAGGTAAGGAGGAACCAATCACAATGATCTACATATAATCCCCTCCCAGGGGGACAGACAATAGAAAAGTGGGTGAAGGGACACAGCAGTCGGTGTAAGACATGAAAAAAATAATCATTTATAAATTATCAAGGGTTCGTGAGGGAGGCAAGGTAGGAGAGGGGAGGTCGGGGAGGGGGTGAAAAAGGCTTGATACCAAGGGCTGAAGTAGAAAGAAAATGTTTTGAAAATGATGATGGCAACATATGTACAAAGGTGCTTGACTCAATGGATGTATGGATTATGATAAGAGCTGTAAGAACCCCCAATAAAATGATAAAACAAACAAACAAACAATGTCTTCTTGTGCAAAGGCCTGTACTTACTCGAAGAATCATGGTTTAAACCAGGATTAAAAACACACCTGATGACAACTTAAGGCAACAGGTGGCCTTTAATCACTTATAGGTTATGGAAATTGCATATGAATAGATGTGAAATGTGTGTGTATAGGAGCTGTAGCTTGCAATTGTAAAAAATCGCTCTTTTGCACTTAAGTGTCCACATGCATGCTTTTATCACAAAGCCATGTCCAGATCAATTAAATACTCTGGGTCAGGGCATGCAAGCATCCAAATGAGACTGCAGAGCGAGTCAAGAGGGAAAGCAACCCACGCAGGCAGACTAAGTGAACTAAGTGTTCAAACTGAAGTCCAGGCGGAATTCCACTCCACGCACACATCTCATCGTGTAACACGGGCATATGCTGAAGGCTTTAACTTTGGTTCTCACTATCAGCACGGGACAGTATTCTCTGACCTCAAAAATATTTTAATGTCTCTCAACTATTAATTCTCATCTGTCTGCAAAATCCTTCGCTTGAAAGGCAAACTGATGGGTAACTGCTACCAGCAGGGCTTACAAAGGACAAGCAAACCAGAGAAAAGGGGAAAAACACTGAAGGGATTTTTAAGTGGTAAGCCTTTCAAATCTGCTAATTTGTCAAAGCAATACTCTGCTGGTTGACTGAATAACTACACTTGCAGCTTCAGAGAACTGGACTTTAATCTTGTGTTTTATAGTTGCAGAGCCTGGTAGGTTTCCTGACACAAGTTATGCAACAAACCCTAAGAGTCAGCAATTTGGGTGAGTACAGTGAAGTCGCAGGAACACTCACCCCCACTCCACCACATGTGACTCATAATCCCAGTACTCCCGGGGTCTGTGTGTATTAACATCTGTGTAAACTCTGGCTCTGCTTGGCACGGGTCCCGACATGTCAGACAGGTTGGCGAACAAAGCTGAACTTGGTGCTTGGAGATCCGGCAGTCAGCGTTCAGAGGCAACTGGGTAAGACCTTATTTCAGACTGGGTTTCTTCAACTGCAGAAACAAAATAAACAAAGGTCAATGAATTATTTTTAAAATGTATATATTGAGGAAAAAAAATCTTACTACGAAGAAAATTTACCTTCAAATATACCTCTGATTCTCTTGCCTGTTTTAACAAAGAATACATCTCAACTGTGTCGGCTCATATAACATGGGGCGGGGAGTGGGGGTGGGGTGGAATCATTGAAATTATACTGTGAAGCAGCTTGTTAGTTCTCCGTGGAAGGATGGGATAGTTTTTATAGGGCGGCCCAGAAGACCTGAGAAGAGGTGCATCAGCATTATGATGACTTACATGTCCTACGAAAGGTATTGGCAAGAACGCTTGATCCTTTCAGGAGCTGCCGACAGCTCTGTAGGGGTGCTAGCAGAGTCTACAACGGTGGCAAAGCTGAAAGTACACACTGTGACTCTGACTCCAATATTTAGTAAAACCAAGAAGGAAACAAGACTTGTTCTCATTCATCAAAATTAAGCATCTTATACTCACCTAAATAATTTGGGGAATTGTGTGCAATAATCAGTAGAGGCTTGACGATCATTTGAAGACATCCAAGTAACACTTCAAACTTCAGAGTGACCCAAAAACCTTAAACAATCCTGATTTCATTGAATTTCAAAACAGAAATCGCTTTCCTCTGCATTTATTTAATATAGGATGTAGGAGACAATACTACATTAGCCGGAGAAGGCAAGCATTGACATGGAGAAAAGCGGGTAAACCTGTACAACATGCTTTCTGTCAAATCAGTCAGCCAATTCTCTCTACAGCTTCGCCGACCAGCCCCATTGTCTATTCTTTGAACTTTCTGTAATGCTTGGTGATACTTGTAATCTGCATCTCATTTATTTATTGAACCTCCAGAGATGAGGACCTAGAAGGACACATTAACGACAAAGTTCTCCATCCACGATTATTTATAATCACAACCAAATTACAAGGAAACGGGGCAGAAAACAAGGCATTATTAAAATTGGGGGTGGGGGGGTGGGGCACGATACACCAGGGAAGAAGGTACTGTATTCTTGAAGTTTCCAATCTTCATAAAAGAAAATGGAATGCAATACCCTCCCCTAGACTACAGACTACACTGGAAAGGGGGAGTCTATAAAGGACAATGCTACGAAGTCACCAGGCAAAACTGGACTATAGACGGCAGGTAATACAATAGTGTGAGCCTGCGAAGCTGGTACACAACCCCAGAGAATAACCCCGTCTCCCTTGTTCTCAGTCATCCTGCTGACTCACAGCACCCACAGAGGACGGGGGAGAAGTGCCCCTGTATGTCCAAGACTGCCACTGTTGATGAGACCGGAAAGACTCCCGAGGGTAAGCCGGCGACCTTACCGATTGCAGCATACGCACTCTGCAGGGCTCCTCCCTGGTGCACTTCCACACAAACCACACAGCCCCTCTGCATGTCAGTTTCCCATGTGCTCTGTACCAGAAAATGTATTCACAAATTTTAAATCCTTTCAAATCAAGTTTAAAACGCAGTAAGACCCCCAGGAAGGTTTCCCCACAATTATACAGGCATAGCTAATGAATAGAGCAGGGACTGGACGTGTTTCTGATTGCTCTGGCAGTGAGCTTTGCATTTTTACCGCATAATTAGAAACTACCCAGACAACAACAGTTAACATTTACGACTACTCACTGTGTGCCGGGCACTGGTCTATGCTCCAAGTGTTTTGTTTATATTATTCCATTTAAGCCTCACCACCCAAAAAGCGGTGAGACCCGTAGAAAGGTTGAGTTGGTTCCAACTCAGAGACCCTACAGGACAGAGCTGAAGCCCCCCAGGGTTTCCATGTTGTAAATCTTTTCAGAAGCAGGCGACCACAACTTTCTCGACAATTTTCTGGACAAGAGCTGTTGGTATTCAAATCGCCGACCTCGCAGCAACCTAGTCCTTGCCAGTGTGCCACTTGTGTTCCTTTAAAGTGGTCAGAAAGTTACCATTACCCCCATTTCACAGACAAGGAAAATGAGGCTAATTTTAAAAAAGGACGAGGTTATATTTAACTTGCTAAATAAAGAGTCCTGGTGCCATGGGGGTATGTGCTCAGCTGCAAACTGAGAGGTCAGCGGTTTGAACCCACCAGCTACTTTGAGGAAGAAGAATGAGGTCTGCCTCTAGAGATTGACAGCCTTGGAAACCCTGAGGCAGTTTCACTCTGTCCTCTGGGGTCACTACTGACTGCAGGATTCGACTCAATAGCAACAGGGCTGTTTTGTGTATTTGCTCAAAGATACACAGCTGGATAGAGGAACTCAGTCAGCAACTACAAAACAGGATACCTGTATGTACACCTCAAGATTTGTGAGGGGTCAACCAGCTAGTGAATGTGAAATCTTTAGACCCGCACCTGCTGGGGCACTCTAAAGCGAGTCACCCAGGACAAACTTGTCCTTTAAAGGCTGGGGCTTGGCTACCATGCCTAACAATGTCAGAGTTCAATGGCTTTAAGGCCAACGTAGGAGAACAACAACATAAATGGGATAGGGGTTAATACTATAGTCCAGATGTGTGACAAACACAATCAATGATACTCCCAAAATAGGAGATCACAAGAGCTGTATAACTATGAACTCTCCCAGCCAGACTCCTCCAGCATACCTGTTCACTGAGTCCCATGAGTACTACATGGTGAGAAAACAACAAAGCCCACCAAGGCTTCAGTAAAGAGGTTTAGCTGAAGCAAGTCTGTCTGTAAATAGCACACTCTGGATGGCTTTAGCTCACATTCTTTTCAGTAGCATTGGTAAAAATATAACCATACATACAAGACTCAACCCTCAAACGAGAAAGCAAATACTTTTCTAGTATTTTCTCTTCTTCCCAAAGGAATGAGGCTGTAATTGCCGACTCTACATGATTACCATGTCTGCAGTATTCACAACATGCTTGTGTCTGAAAACAGCTAAGGCAGTATACATGACATTAAATTAACAGAAATACTGTCCTTGTCCTTAGGAATTTGTAACTTCTAAGTGACTTGTGGGGTGACACTTAGGACATCATACATAAAAGGAAGAAGCCACTAAACGATGACACAATGCATACCAGGACAGACTCTGACACCTGCTCTTAAATGGAGTAATTAAAGCACACAGAAAACTGAAACAGAGACTTTAGAACAGTGGTTCTCAACCTTCCTAATGCAGCGACCCTGGGACTAGGTCCGATAACAGGGTGATGAAAAAGCAGTGGAATCCTAGGTTCAAATCCCTAGTTGGTTACAGCATCTAAATTGGACTTCTTCCAGTTTGGGTTCTTAATGGATGAAACGTGTCTAACTGCACTTGCAGATTAAAGGAAGTTCCAGTGATAAGATTTTCCAGAAAGGACCCAGAAATACCAAACAAATAAAAGCTAAATAAGCAGAAACATATCTTTAAGCTCAAGCTTTTATCTTTGTTTTCTCATTTCATAAAGTACCATGAACTGGTAGCTCTCTATCGTATTGCAAAATGAGATTTCAATTTCTTCCTGAACACCACCCAAGGCACATGGAAAAAATCATCTTAAGCTCGTGTGTGTGCGCGCGCGCACTGTCTTCTTCACTTTTCAGAGTAAAACTAATGGAAGTCCAGATATCCTCAAGTACTTACATGAATGACCTTTGCAGCTTTGGGCCACTTCAGCTAAGGCCTAATTTAGGAATCTGTAAATTTGATTGTCCAACTAGCTGTTTTCTTGTAAGTACCCCAAAGAGGTACAGTACTTCACTTTAATGTCATTCATATTGAATACTCTGCTTATCATAAGAGAAGCATTTGTGGGAAATTTCACGATTAGCCTTCATTAATGATATGAAGATAATGAATGAGTTTCTTGAACTGTGGCTCAGTAAGTACGTAAACCGATGCCGAGAGGATGGGAGGTGATAGGATGAAAATATAGGGCTAAGTCATCATCGGAGATGACCATTACCCTCAAACTAGCATTTCACTCACATGTCTCTAGTGCTATATGAGAAGGCTTCAAAAAAGCTCAAGGGAAGTGAAACTGAAACATAATGGGAAATTTCCACAAACTCTTTGAAGCCTCCCCTGAAGCATTAATAGGAAGAAAATGCAGGGACAGACTACATTTCTTAATATTGGTTTGGGTCTTCCATAAATTCCTATTGTGATCACCCCATAAATTGCTGAGCAGCCGCTATGAAAAAGTATTGTGCTAGGCCTTGGGAATGTAACCTTGAGCAAGGCCACCATTAACCAAATAATCCCTTGGCGCAAAGACCACCCTGAAGAGTTTTAAGTAGAAAGTGACCCCTAGGTGAGTTTTGCGATGTGTACTCTAGTAGGGTATGGGATAGAGAAACTGTATTTAGGGAGTCAGAAGGCTGTTATAGTAACCAATGTGAGAGAGATGATGACAGCTCGGCCTAGGGGGTGAAAATGAAGATAAATGGGCTACTTTGAGGGGGAGGTAGAGATAGTGTAATTTCAATAACTCTGGGCAGACTGGATAATGGAGTGAGGAGTAGAGGTGACTCAGATTTCAGGCTAGACAGATTGATTGCCTGCCGTGCCATTCCAGAAGAAAGTGGGGGGGGGGGGGGATCAACTTGAGGTTAAACTGATTCTGAGACATCCAAAGTTGGTACTGAACAGGCAGTTAAAGATATTACAAGTCTGGGGATAAAAAGCCTGATCAATTTCAAATTATCTAATCCTCCTTACTATATTATGAGGTAGACATCATTTTCCTTAATCTACAGATAAGAAAACAACCTTACTAAGCAAGTTCAGTAGCTTGATCAACAATATCCACAGATGCAGCTGGCATTCAAAGTCAAGCTGGCTGGTCTTCAAGACTTGTCAAGTCTTTTCTTTCCTATAGAACTTAATATTTTCCATCGCATATGTACCAAAATTTATGCAAAGTAAAAACAACCCCACTTGTATGATTTTAATTGAACAAAATTGAGAAGAAAATCTTTACAGAAAACCCCAAACAAATATTGACTAAGTAATAGAA